CTGGTTATTTACATAGGTCCCGCGAGGAAGTCGCCACCTTCCTGGTAGAACCACACTTGATCTGTTGAACGTTTGACCCTCAGTAAAGATGATAGCAAAGGTAAAAGAAAAATTTTTAGTGGCTTCTTCGATCATTAAGCCAGTACGAGGGTGTTACAAACCTTTTTTATTCGCTTAACATTTTAGTGCTTCCGCCTTGTTCAGAACCGCAGTGATTAGAGCTAACTGTCCACAGTCGTTTGTTCTTGGGTTGCTTCCAGTCGTATCCAACAGAATCTTTCGTAGTAGAAGACAGCTCGAGCAAAGCTTCCTTAGTCGGCGGAGACCTTTTGTACTGGATGGTTGTTGAAATATTGCCACCTAATTTTCGGTAGCAATGCATCCTAGATATTCTGCACAAGAAAACCAAAAGCATCTCTGCAAACGACAGCGAAACGAGTGGTAGAAATAGCACGCCATCTGAGGACAGGGCAACTATTTTTCAGGTGTACGGTAAAAGACAAAAGCTTCGCAGTTTTTTTCTATAGTGACAGGTAGCCTCCCAACGATTTACCGCCTCGTCGTGACTGGGAGGTGTTCATGGGTGTCGGGATACGATGTACAGCGGGCAATTCACCCACCAACAGCGTCTCCCAAGCTGAGAAGGAGTTCGGCGTTTCCATCGTGAAGCCCAGCTAAGAGTAAACCAATACCAGGATCCACCGCCGTCCTGGTATCAAAGTCGCATGGTGGCAAATTTCCCTGTGATTCACAAAGGCATCTACCGCCTGTGGTGGTGACGACCTGAAGCACACTTTGACAGGCTGGGCTGGGGACTCCAGGGACCACAAGGACTAAATGAACAAAACTCCGAAGAAATGGAGATTATGCTAGAGCCCGCACAACCTGTGAGGACGGGCCGTCAAAGTGTCAAAAAATGTCAAGTGACAGGTAGTGAGTCTGCTTATCGAACTGCTATGTACAGTGCCATTTTATCACAATTTCCGAAGAAGTTCGACATTTTCATCGGAATATGCAAACTTACGAATGCCATGGCAGATTAGGTGTGCTACCGGTAGTTATTATCTCACTAGAGAACTGATAATAAATGGCCTCGTACCCAAACTACGAGGCCGTTCGCGTCGATCGAGTCAGCGGATTTCCTAGGTCTGACAAACAATGAACGAACGATTCGAAAGTTCAAAGATAATCGTCCATGTTTAAGTTACTTGAGGAGACCACATCAAATATGCAATATCTGCGACTGGGCAGCACTTTACCTTTCGCATACTTATTATTAAGTGACAGTATTCATCTACAAAGGATAAAAACTGAAAGGATAAAGCCCTCGGCGTTGCTCGATCTCTGAGGGATGCCCCATGCATTCAACTTCATTAAGCATCGCTGGAGGCGATTGAATGCATATCTGGACTCGCGGTGGCTTACCGATGTATCGAGCTAGTGCTCATAGCCTCTCAGGTAAGTTTGGTACCAGTTTGCCGATCCCGGAGGGCTAGAGGGCTTGCTGAGCCATGGGCACAAGGATCGATCCCACGTGTGCACTGCAGGGCGCCTCCGACCACTGCGTACGTGCCCTTTTCTCAGTATTCATCTATACGAACTCTAATTCCGTTAATAATCAATCATTATTAAGCACTTCAAGAGTCTTTGTTGCATTCGAAACGGGAAAGTAAGGGATATGAGCCGCTTTAAACCTCTTATATACAGCAGTTTTTTCAACTGCTTCAAGTGAACAGATACGTGTTGATAGCTCTCGAAGCTTTGCTGTTGAGACAAGAAATATATACGCAAAGCTTATCTGGGTTTCTCGAAGATTACTTGGTCTTATTTATTGGAAGCGAAATCGAACAGCTTCACCTATGTTCCCCAGAAAATACTTCATGTGTTCTCGGTTTTGATTCCAATATTACACTCAGACACTTGGGCAAATACAAGGCAGAAAACTTAACTGTTTTTTGAATTAAGAAATCATTTGAATTCACTTAATGCGAGCACAGCCTTTTCAGTACCACTGGATGCGCCACGTAGCTTCGCGACAAACGAAATCAGCACCACGTATATGAGAAGCATCTGTGGGACAAACTATAACAACGGGATACTGCTTGTTAAATCGTCTTCGACTGGTCGGTCGACTAACCGTAGGATTGTTGCTGTCCAAAAAGAGTCTTAATAACGAAGGAGCAAAGCCTCGTGCGATCCAAACCGACTAGTTGTGGCGAAAAACTAGGCACATTTTAACATGGTTATTTTAGGATTCCAGAGAAACGTAGAGAATGTCCACCCTGAATTCGCTATGAAACAATAGAACAGATAGCAAAAGAACGAGGGCATAACGTTAACGAGATTGTAGTGAAATGCCAAACAAAAGAATCCTACGAGCTATAGCTGATTTTATGCATTTAGTGGCTGGAACGCAGATGGATGAGTACTAAAGTATTTTTGAAAAAAGCCACTAAAAAGGAATAGCAACAAGTTGATGGAAGACCATTCTTCTCTGTGGTTAAAAAAATAGATGTTTCTAAGCTGTATACTTTCTATTAGTATTAGAACTTTACAACAATTTAAGAATCTACAAACCCTAATACAGAACTTCAACGAAGGAATTAAAGAGGACGTTTTGGATTCAAAGTAAGGTACTGTTAAAGACATCTTAAGGTAAAGTGCTGCAGTGCGGGTAGTTTTCAAAAACCGCACAATTTGACTTCTTAGATTACGTAATGCGCTTCACTAAGACTCACCCTAACTAAGCGTACTCCGCTTTAGCAGGTATGGGTTGTTTTCTTACATCTACATTTTCAAGGAGAAGTTTTTATGACAGCGAGAACTAAATGACGAGAAAAGAGGTTATGTGCACCAGTAGTACTCATCAGCGAGCAATCCTCCATCGCCTTTACTAGTATGCAAATTGCTCATCAATAAATTAACAACGGACAAATATATGCCTATAACTATACAATGTGTTATAAACTATATACTATATAGTTATAGTCAGTCTTATAGACTATGACTTTATAATATATTATAACTATATACTTATTTGATACTTGAACGGCCCGCCCTCAGTGGTTGTGTGGGCACCAGCATAATCACCATTTTTCGGAGATTTGCTTGTAAGCCATTGTGGTTCTCTGGAATCCCGAGGTCAGCTTGGGCAAAGTCTGCCCCAGGTCTTTATCACGACAGTCAGTCGCTGCCCTGGTGGATTAGAGGGATATTTGCCACCATGTGACAAGTTTAATATCAGGACAGTAGTGGACCCTGGTATTGGGTAAAGGATCCCTACGGCATGGTGGTCAACGCGTCAACCTCCGGAAGGCGTAGTAGTGCTTCGATTCCTGCGGTCCGCAGTTTTGCAAATGTCTCAGCATCATTGTGGTCATGTCTATTTCTTCCATAGGTTGATGCAGACGGAATGCAGTAGTTACTGCTGCTGAATGTCAACGGAACAAGTATTCCTCCTTGTAGGGAATCAGCACTGTTTCATCGTTTTCCTAACAACAGTTCAGAAATAGGATATCGGATGAAGTAGATTTCTGTTTCGTTTTTAACGTCCAGAAGAACATCCTTACATGACAGCTAAATTGGAAATTAAGTAGCATACCTCGATTTAGTTCATCTACACAGGGCAGCCTCATTCTTCCGTAAGCCCAAAAGCTAAGTAGAAAAACGATAATCACGGTTGTATTTGCGAAGTTCAGCTGTGTGGACGAAACTATAAGACATTAGCGCCATTCCAGAAGTGAACGTCGAATAAATTCCCATGTGGCAAATAGCCAAATCCACCCGGTTGTGGACTTTCCTTTCGCCTCTTCATATAATTTCATCTAGCTTATTAGATGTTCGAGCTCCCAATATATTACTTTAAATAGAAGGAACGTAAGTATTCCAAAGCGGCGAAATGGTAACCAGTAATTTCCTCATATAGTAGTGATTTTGTCCCTGAATACTGCACCCACAGACTTGTTTTAAATGGAATTGTTGGGATTTTTAGAATGAACGAAGTGGACCCGACACTTGTTTCACAAATTAGAGGGCAAATAAAGGATAAAGTTCTCCGCGTAGAACAAACAATCCCTAAGGGATGCGCCATCCATTCGACCTCACTAAGCATCGTTGGAGGTAATTAAATGCATATCTGGCCTTTACAATGACTCGCAGTGGTCTGTCGTTGTATGGAGCCAGTGTTGCTATCCTCCCAGACGTCTCGTATCAGTTTGCTGACCCAGGAGGGATGAAACGCTTGAAGCTTGGACCATAGGGATGTGAACTCCATGTGTAGTGCGGCGCTACTCCGACCACTGCCCTACACGCTCTCGATACTTCAGAAATTAACATACATATTTACTACTGTAAGCAAAGTCGACGTCATAGAGGTGACAAACATCTGTTTATATAATTTTACATCCTCCTTTGATTTTGTGTAACTCTTTATGTCCACATCTCCCATATATGTATAGCCTTTATACGCCACTAGCAAGCAAGAGAAGCAGCTCACTTGTGGCAAAAGACAAATCCTTGTAACTGAACCTCTCTCAAATGATATTACGAAGCATTGAAAAGCACATTGTTTCCTCATAATAAGCGACCTATATCAATACTTCGTACAAAAAACAAAACAAAAGAATACATATGTGCATTAAAGAATACCCTTCACGGCTTTAGCCTTCAGTGGGTAGAAGGATCAAAATACTATAAACTAACTTCTTGCTGTAAAATGTAAATCAAAAACTAGTAAAGATCTAGACATTTCAGTTAGTTTCATACATAAATGGAAAAAAGAAAGCTGAGAAAACAAAAACCAGCAAACAACAAGCAAACAGTTGCGATTAGCAGGATAGTTTCTTATAGTGAATAATAGGACAAATGCATAGCTGGAAGTACCGTAACGATTCATGTATGTGCAAAAAATGTGGACATAGGCGATGAAAACGGAAGAAACAGTGTATCTACACATATACATACGCCAAGAACGGCAAGAATTTACATCAAAAGGTAACAATTTACACAAAACAACGGAAGAACTTGTAACCTCTTCCCTCAAACCTTTGGATTATTTTCCCGACAAGATTCCTGTGCACACCGTCGGGTTGCACGGCAATGAACGTCCATTCGTTCGTCGCAGACATGTTCTCACAAGTTCGCCAACAGCACGCATTGCGTAGACTTGTGAGAACAGGGCTACGAACGAAAAGACGCTCATTGCGGTGGAACCCAATGGTGTGCACAGGAATCTTGTCTGGATGATAATCCGAAGGTTTGAAGAAAGGATGATGATTGCTTCTAAGCAGCACTAAGAGGTTCACTACAACAACGATCTCAATGAAAGAAGTGCCTAGTCTACAACATTTCCATCTTTGTCATAACAAACTATTTTTATAGATTTTCTAGGAAATGAGATCGAAGATCGGAGTTCTATACCCGGAGCATATTGTCTGAGATCAATTCCGCAACCCATTTTGAATACGCTCATATCTGCTGGGCGAAAAGCGGAGAAGTCGAATTTCAATCTTGGAGAAGTCGAAGAGAGACCTTTCGTTTCATCCAATTTAGTCGATCCCAGGTTCGAATCCGTCTGAACGTCAGCTGTTGTACGCGACAATGAAGAACGATTTCTGAATCTTTAACGCTTGTGCAACACCCGCAAATAATGGGACGGTGGAGAGGGTTGTGCAACATTCTACGTTATGCAAAACTATAAAAAATGAGCTAAGAATTCTGGATATTTGACACAATTATTATCCTGATATAAAAAATCCGAAAAGAAATTTTAGCCATAGCTACCATCAGTACGGAGATATGACGCTTTGTATTTATTGCCAAACTTTTAAAATCTTTTTTAAGCCCATATTTTAACACCACGGAACATCACAACACAACACTCACATTTCTTTAGAGAGCTTCATCAACTCCTCTGCGGTTTTTGAGTCCATCGGGGCACTAATCGGAACCAACTCACCGAATCGTAACCTACAGAATAAAATAACACTATTCAGCTTGAATGAACAATAATGTCGTATTTTCATTTGCAATTGAGAAACAATAAACACCACCTTGATAAAAAATCGATGATTTCGGTTCGAGAAGAATGGTCAGAGTAGGGAATTGTTATGAGATTTTCTTCGATTATTCTAAAACAACAATTTCCACCTTTTCAATATAAGTCTTGGATTACACATCGACAGAGTACATCTTTTTGTTCAGTTTTTCCCTAATGATTGAACTTGTGGAGCTGACAGGGATAGCAATCTATAAAGTGTTCAGTTCAAAATCTAAAGTCAGGATTTTTATGGAATCTCTAAGGGCTAAGAGAAGATCTGACGAGTTCCCACTGTACAGAAATTAATTTCCCCTCTTTCTCCTATTCGCTCATTTCATGGCGAAATTATTACCCAGTTGTGTTCGCGCTTTTGTTTCTAATTCATCTACCACATCACAATCTCCATATTATGGTCACCGAATAGTAAAAAAAACTTCAGTCATAGGCATCAATTTCACTAGCGTTTTCACAATTACGAATACATTTCGGTAACAGTGCGTACAAACAGTTATAATGCTAACGTTAGCGAGCCAAAACGTTAACACATACGGGACTTATATGAAGTCGTATGTTATTAAAATAATATCGAACCTATAAATAACCCTTCGAGAGCTGACGTGCTATCCACTGCACTAACTGAGGGCCTTGTTTTGCACTTCCTTCAGCCATATTTTTACTCTTTCGGTGCTGTCAGTAATCACCAGTCGATAGGAATGAACTTGGGAGCACAAATCGGCATTGAACCCAGTTAAACTGAAGCTTGGCGCGAAAAACGCAAGTGAATAAGCGGGATTTCATCCAACAGGACATGTTTTGGAAAGTTTTTGGAGAGAAAAAGGGTATGTGGCCAGCTTGCTACTAGCCTTCATTTTATGAATTCACAAAAAACCTCCACACCTTCATAGTTGGCTATTCAAATCGTTTTAACGAAATTCCACTATAAACTGCTATAATAGCGAAAGAGCTTCAGCAAAACTGGGACGATCGTGTATTTTGTTTACTTTTCCTTTACACGGCTTATTATACCTTCACATCCACTGTGCAGATCCGAACACCTTTGCGCTCGATTCGTTTTCTCGCCTCCATCATCTATGAAGGTAACTTTCCGCGTGTGTCTTCGGCTTCTGTTTTAGGATTGTCGTCTAATTTCATAAGTGTTGTTGAATGCTGATCGAGTCGATTCTCCCAGGATAGCCAACGTAGCCAGACTAGGGCGCTCCCACTTGGAGCGCAGAGAGTAGGCTGTTCCCAGACAAGACCTTCCTCGATTATTAAGAAAAAGCGAGGTTGACCAAAAGATTTATTTGGCTAATGTTCTGACGTGTTCGTTTTCTTCAGAGTCGGGTTGATTCAAGTTGATGGTCCACAGATGGTTCTCAAAGCGATGTGGGTGTCGAGCCCAGTGAAGTGGAGCATCGAGCGAATGAAGAATTTCACTCGACAGGGTATTGTTATACAGGACGGATGTAGATCTATTGCCGCTATTCAGTACGGCCTACATTTTTGGCGTCAATGCATCCTGCAGCAGTCGGTATTATATCAGCTAGCATATAGCTAATCTATATTTCTCGAGCCGACTTCCAATGTTTCCAGACAGATCTGGTACTAATTTCCTCATCCTGAGGGGAACAGAGGCTTGCTGGACACCAGACAGGGTTGAACCAGCACCGTGACCGTGATGGCCACTGGCACTGCGATATCTCCAGCCCATCTGTTTTCCAGTGATTTTTCCTACAATTTTAGAACAATGGTACGTAAGAAATTCGTGTAATCGAAGAAACTTTTTTATAAAACTCACTCGTTGTATTCTCCTCGTAATGAAAGATCAACAACCACTTTCGGATCTTTCATGTTCGCCAGTGCTTGGAGCACGTACCTTAAAATCAATGTTTTCGAAGGACTAACGATCAAAAAATTGTACTCTTCCAAACTCTTACTAATAGTGATTTCGAAAGCGAATAACCTCCTTTCGTTAAATTCACATAATTACTGAACTGAAAACTCATTAAACGCTCCAGGTTTAGCCCAATCACAACACCACATGTAACAATTTCGCTTTAAAATATCAACGCTTTGACCTTATAAAGCAGACATAAATTTACTTACTTACTTGGTACTTGAATGGCCCATCCTGACTGGTTGTGCGGACCGCAGCATAATCTCCATTTTTCGGAGATTTGCTGGCTAAGCCATTGTGGTTTCTTGGAATCCCGAGGTCGGCTTACCCAAAGTTTGCCCCAGGACATCACCACCACAGGCAGACGCATCCCTTGTGGATCAGAGGAAGATTTTCCACCAAGCGATTTTGATACCATGACGGTGGTGGGTCTTCGTATTGGTTTACTCTTATCCAGGCTTCTTGATGGAAACGCCGAACTCCTTCTCAGCTTGGGAGACCTTGCCGGGAGACGATTCCCCGCGCTGTACATCGCAGTCAGGCACCTAAGAACACCTGCTAGCCAGGATGAGGCGGTAAAGCGTTGGCAGGGACATAAATTTACTACAAATATAGTACGATACTTATACGAGCAGAGTACACCTAGCACCAAAAAGCTTACAAGCAACGTGGAAATCAAGTGGGATCGTGTTCTGATAAAGTCACGTATTAGTTTCCATCAGATTTCGTTTACAGACCTAGGCTGTCTTTGTGAAGTGCGAATACGGGCACTATCATTATCTTCCCGAAATTCGCCTTCATTCAGTCCACATAGCCTCCTCACCATTAAACGTTCATTACTGGTCGATATCACTTCCTAAATGGCGACACGAAAGCGTTGCTTCATAGTAACAATTGCCATTAAAGAAATAGTCAAGCATGGGAAATAACGGAAGACAACATAATCATAAACAAACGCTCACCGAATAATCCTTGCTTAGTTTTTCCAAAATTTCCTCCCTACCAAGCCTGAACACCGGGATTAAAATGTTACAGCGACGATGTTTATCCATTTCACGCATTAACCTGACAAGAATAAGCATCGTATTTTGGGAAGGAAGTGGTACCTACCATCAATGTTCCCTAAAAGATTACCTACACTATACAGCATTACCGATATGGTTTGGATGAAATAAAGGAACGCTAAGACAAAATGATCACCTTTCCTCGCATTCTGTCCTACTAGGAAATGAAGCATCGGTGTGGTCCAAATGGGTATTGTCGAAGTAGATCTTGGAGATGTAAGTCTACAATAATTTACGGACGAAAGACATTTAAATGGATTAAAAACTTTTCAAGGCAGTGAAATAGTAAACCAACACCAGCTAGCTTCTTAAAGGATGAATCGCTCTCGAAACGACAAATTAGTCTATTATCAGCGCGGAAATCTCCTGTACACAACACACTGCCTCCAGGAATTGAGGCACCTAAAATGGCTTCGACATTGAACCAAATTTCAATATCTCAGCGCTTTTTCTAGAATAGATTACGAGTATGGTCACTTAGTAAACCAAAAAATTAAACATTTCTGTCTCACAGATATCTTTTCGTATTTCTCTTGCTGCAATTACAAAGCTTTAAAAAAAGCTCTCGGCGTTGATCAATCCCTGATGGATGCATCATGCATTCGACTTCATTAAAGTCGTTGCAGGTGATTGAATGCATATCCGGACTCGTGGTGGCCTAGTGTTGTATAAAGCCAGTGCTGCTATCCTCCCAGACAAGTCTAGTACCAATTTGCCTCTCCGGAAGGATGGAAGGCTTGGTGGGCCATGGGCGCGTGGATCGATTAAATGTGTGTCGCAGTCGCGCTTCCGACCACTGCGCCACACGCGCTCTCAGCTACAAAAAAATTCACAAATTTACAATCTTTCCTTTCGCTTATGGTCACAAATAACACTAGCAATGACGCAACTTTCGACATTAATTTGCGCTAAAGAAATCCCAACTCGCTATGAAATTTCCTTTATTATACCGGCTAGATAAGTGCCATTCTATCGGTATAAAAAACAAGAGATAGCCCTGTATTTGTATTCACGTAGCGGATACATCTTAGTATTCTCCTCACTGCCAACAATTTTCGGCAAAAGAACTTAATGAAATGAAAACGGCCTTCTGAAAAATCTTCTTGCAAATCTATTGCTTAAAAAATAGCTCATCTAGGTATACGTCTGACAGATCTGAGAAGGAACCCAATTCGTAGAAGAAATACAGCAGAAAAATTCTGAGCAGCAAAAGAGAAAGAAAGGCAGAAGGACGATGACTCAAAGATGATTCGTATCAGCACCAAAGTGTTAGTTCATCAATTTTCTAGGATGAATCAGACCCCAAATGATCTACTTTGAAGGAGAAGCTACTACACCTATTTATTATTAGTACCGCATCTATTGTCTGTGATCTTTCGCGTTATTTGGCTGAAAAGTTGCAATAAAACCGAAGCTGTTCATCGAATTCAGCTCCCTTAGGAACACAAGAAACCACGTATTTGGGTTTAAGGACCTTCATTTCAATTGTTTCTGTCCACAAGGTAACCATAAAAAGGTCAGCATGCTTTTGCCGTGGTAAAAGTAACACGGATGGGTAATCGGGTGGAAATCTCGAATTTCTTCACAACTTGGTTGAGTACGGTGATGGATTTCATCATCAGTGCAGATCGCAGTTCAACACGTAAAAGTTTCCAGCGAGATGACGCAGCAAACGGTTGGAACTATTGACGATGTGTGCAACCAATCAAGCTAATGCAGTTAGCAACTAATAGAACCACTGGTCATAAAACACTCACTATAACAGGTGAGAGTAGCATAACTGTGAAATGACAAAAATCACCTTCAAACAGAAACATGACGGATCCTAGACAGTGGTTGGCATCCAATAACGTTACCTAAACTGCCGAGGTAACATTCCCAATGATTTTAGAGTTAATTGAACTCACGAAACCTTACAGAGAAACCTACATGAAAATTAGGCTCAATCTCGTGTGTTTCTCCAACCTTAAGAGGGTGCAAAAGTCGTTTAGGTATTGCCTTTTTTCTAAAAAGATTTTTTTTTTCTAAAATAAGACTCAGTAACAATTAGCATTCAGTTTTAAAAATAGAAAACGTGGCATACCCACCCCATGAGTGTTGGCAAAATCCTAGCAGTAACTTCCGAGCAGTATATTGGAGACTTCCAAGTTTTCTGAGAAAGGCAATCGACAAAATGTGCAAGTATATGGTTGACAACTTAACGACCATGAATACGAACTTTACCGTTGTTTCTGATATTAAAAATAAGCAACCAAACATACATTGAGGTTGGCATAGTGGTCCACGTGCGCATGTGTCAAAAAATGGTACTTACAAGAATCCTTCCGCCTAAATTACAATTGTTGAGACCAAAACAAATTTTCTTCCCCTCAACAACAAAAGCTCACACGAATCTATCAACAGCGATAAAGCACTTTCCAATGATGATCTTTCCACACTTTGGAACAACATTCTCCTCCCCGATATCATCTTCGCCATCTGTTCTAAAATTGCTTACCTACATGAATAGGCAACTTGATAACGATGAATTGAATAAAACTAAACGTTCTCTCAGATTGGCATTACTACTCCACCAAAAAAAAAATCCTGACTGACCCAATCGTGAAAGAGAGATATGTTGACAACTGAAGATAATACATGAGAACTAGAAACAATTTCATCGTGCTAGACTAAGCAAACCTCCCAAAGGTTTACCACCTCATGGTGGCCGGGAGGTGTCCCTGGGTGGCGGGCTGCGATGTACAGCGGTGGGATTCATTCCCCACGTCTAGTCTCCCATGCTGAGAAGGAGGCCGGCGCTTTCATCAGGAAACCTAGCTAAGAGTAAATCAATACCAGGATCCAGCACCGTCCTGGTACCAAACTAGTCGCACGGTAGCAAATCTTCCCCTGATCCACAAGGGCGGCGAATGGCTGTCGTGGTGACGACCTGGGACAAACTTTGGCCATGCTGACCTCGGGAGTTCAGGGAAACACAATGACTAAATCAGCAAAACTTCGACAAGTGGAGAACATGTTGGGGTCCACAACACCAGTGAGGACGAGCCGTCCAAGTATTCAAGTAATACTAAGCAGTATATCTTATTGCCAAGGATGCGTACATAACAGTAGTTTCTATTTCAGTTAAAAAAGTTCTCTACGTGACAATGCTAGCTTATCGAAAATGCCGACAATTTTTCCATAACAAGACCATTTAAATGACCGGATACTTTTAAAAATTTGGAAGAAAATTCGCGCTGTAGTCGTTCCATTTGTTCAATCGTTTCGTTAGCGGATGTACGAGCTTGAAGGGATAAAAAAACGATTAACGCTATAGAAAAGATAAAACATCACCGTGGCCTCTGGACTCCTACAGTTCTCATCTCAAAGAAAGTAAGCATGAGTACAAGTGCGTCGAAAACGATGTTAATTTCGGGTTATTTATGAGTCATATACGAATCACATCGTCACGAGTGTGCCAGATTAGAGAAATTTGAATGTTTCAAAACTCGTTCAATAAGTTGTTCATAGTAAAAAATTGCTAAACTCTTTGGCATAGAAAAGGCTGAATTGTTTCTTTTTACGGCGATGATCTCTTCTCGGGGAATGAAGTTTGGCATTCACTGAAGACCTATTCATACAAAGAAACCAAACATCTGAAATCGAACTTTTAGCACAACGCATCACTCCAACCACGGGTTTACTGCTTCATTATGCAGGCGGAGAATGGTTTCAAAGTTTCAAGCTGTTACATATATACACTATATCGGGATGACGCAACAAACAGAGTATCGAGAGACTCGGATGCTCAGATGAAAGCAAACCAGTGCGAACAATCGTTGTATTGGAGGAAATCTAGTTGCAAGGTATCGAAAAAATTATGCCATATATATATATATATATAGACATACACATATATACGTATGTATATATGCGCACGAGCATATACATATATATGTGCATACTAGCTTGCATTCGTACTCCAAGATTTCCTTGCACAACCGCACATTTCTTTTCTCTAAGTAAAGCATTTACAAACACAAACCTTTTCGGCGATCCGCCGCACTCCATTTCTTTACCAATCACTTCTTTTTCCTGAGCCATTCGAACAGCAAATGGTAACGTCGTATTCACAGGCGGTATTATCCGTACTGTGTTCTGACTCGCCTTGCAAAACCGAACCCTTGTTTCGCTAAAACACGGACTATTCCATGAAAACGTCAGAAAGCAAAGATGAACTATAAATAAGGCGAATTTTCAAGTATTTAGTTTGGCTATATAGGCGGCAGCTCTTCTTTGCTTGAACAAGACTACTATCGTAATATTTAAGAAGTTATGACTTCTCTTCTACTCTGTCATGAAGGTTTACATACATCAGTACAAGTAAAATCGATTGGCTGACTTCATGATACACTAAAAGAAGCTAAAGCTCTCGGCACTGATCAATTCTTGAGGGATACGCCATGCATTCGACTTCATTAAGCATTACTGAAGGTGATTGAATGCATATCTGGGCCTTTACAATGAGTTGCGGTGGTCTACCGATACATCATTCCAATGCTGTTATCTCCACAGACAAATCTGGTACCAATCTGCCGACTCCGGAGGAACGTAAGCCTTGGAGGTTTTGCAGGCCGCCTCCGACCACTGCGCCACACATGGCCATTTACTCAAGGTGCACTGTTGATTTCCAAATCCTATCTTCCTATCTTGAGCTCTGTATCAAAAATGTGGATATCCCGATGCTCGGAATTCTCAAATGGTTGATGCCGCAGGCTTGCACTAGACATAAAGTAATAAACTCTGGCAGTTAATGGATACTAACACCTTAGTGCCGGTATGAGTCCATATGACTCTGCACCGAACATATTGAAGTTTATTGATTTAAATCAAAACAAAATCTGCAAACCTCTATTAGTAACATGGAACTTTTTACGTTTTAGATCAAAGGCTCTTTTTTAAGCATATCAAGTGCTCAATGCCCCAGGTACATTAGTTATTGAAAAATAAGTGGGTACTAGGAAAAAATAAACGTCGCCACCAATGTGTCAATGAGAACGTAGTCTAGTGGTTAGCAACCTCTGAACCTTCTGTTCAGGAGTTCTGACATCATTTAACAATGACATCTGTTTCCACAATAACTGTATATTTTTCACAACTGAGTTGCTGTAAGAAATAAAGTTTCCGAAGAGGATTCAGCCCCAAGATTGTCTTCACTCGGTGGATTAATTCCACTGTTATCATGAGTAGTCCTAGTTCCAGGGCAGTAAACCTTCAGATCAATAATGGAGAACAACTTTGCAAACTGTAAAGAGTTCGAGCCGTGCAGCACCACGGCTAGCAAGAGCTTTCCAGAAGAATCACACTCGGCCATCATTCAACATTTAACGCAATTTTGGGAACCTCTTCGATCGATTACTGTAATAACGAAGTGAATGGAAGAAGTACTGGAGTTCGCAAGTAAAGTTAAATTAGACAACCATAGTAAGTTCTCTAAATGAAAAGCTATTTTTCAATGCATTTCAAAAAACAGGCTTGAGAGTTTAGAATAGCACTACGAAATAAAAAGTGGCAAAGTAGGACTACTTTTTAACTTTTAGAATAAAAAAATCACAAACTAAAAGATTTACCTAAGATTATAGGAAAACTGGTAAATAATTTTCCCAAGGTAAACTTCTCTGGGTTACACTACGATAGATGAGGACTAAAATATTCGATTTCCGAATTACCTCTCACTTTCGAAATCCCCTGACTAGTAAACAAATGAGTGGTACAAAAAACTTACAAAAAGACCTAAACGGTTTGCTAACATTGATTAATCCCTCAGGCTGATAAATACGTATGCTTGTAAATATACTTATGTATGTACATGTAATAAATAGCTGTAGAAGAGCTTTGCAGGATGATCTACATTGGTACAAACAGAAGAAACTACGGGAAGCAGCAGAGAAAAGAACCAGTCTGACAAAATGTTGTCGGGACATGTGTGACTATGGTGTTTCGCTGTCAGCTCTGATAAACGAAGATGAGATCGTCAAAACTTCCCCCATGATATGGAATTGATAGTGGAAACTTTCTACAATAACCTTTTGCATTCCACAATCACCGTCCCGGACACTAATATCCCCGCTGTAGAAAAACCACCTGGAATTCTCCCGTCGGAAGTTCGAGTTTTAATAGAAAGCATGAAAACAGACACAGTTCCAGGACCCGATAATATTACCGTTGACTTCCTTAGAGCTGGAAGCCACGACTTAAATGTATTTCCCGCAAACCCTATGACATCCTACCTTCAAAGCGAAAAAATCCCAGACCAGTGGAGGATGTCGCGCACGATCACACCTAAAAAAGGTGACTGAAGGGATCTTCGCGATCTTCGTAACCATGTTCCAAGGCGCGTCTTTAATTGGATCATGGGGGGTTACTCGTGGACCAAAAACGACCACTGCTTCCCTGATTCAGGTGGAGGCAGGACAAGGACTCCCTGTTTCTGCTGTGTAGATATGGCACATATTTCCCATATTTCCGAAGGAGTATTCATGCATGTGTTCGTGGATGAGTTGTCATTTATGCGCATTGCATTCTATGAGTCAATTAGGCCAAAAACCTGTAATGAGCTGACAGGAAAACATATGGTAGGCGGTTAGGAGTCGCCTCCAACAAATGAGATCCATGTCTACTTTAGGAGAAAGTGGCAACCCGTGGGTATAACCGCCCCTACATTTAAAGATCAACAAGCCAAACGTGGGTATCAAAAAGCTAAACACAGTAAATAAACGGACCTCATTCAACTGACCCCAAAAAAACCCTCCGATTCGGCAGCGTTCGGTGAAACGAGTATGGAGAGGCTACTAAAATCTCAAGGACATCCTAGGTTGCCCAAATCGCGAAGGACTAAGGTGATGATCTGTACCCACAATGCAAGCAAACCTGCATCTGAATCCTCGGTGGAACAACTGATCATGCAGGCAAGAAGGATAACGTACGACACTACCAGACTGCCCGAACAAGGCAACGGCACCCATTCAACGCCGTCCGCGACACCGGAGAACTGCTCCTCGAAACATGCGACAATAGGAGTGACCGGCGTCAGAGTACGTTTGTTCATGAACATTTCATGCATTCAAACAACTAACAACCTGAACTGGACGTTTACGATTAAAAAGATGTGGATCAATACCAGCTTTGACAATATTCGTCGTTTACGCACCGACATCAAACTGTAACGAGGAAGAAGTCGAAGCGTTCTAACATGGACTAGAAGAAGCTCTACAGAGAACATTATACATTCTTTAAAGTTAACACTGAAGATTTTAACGTTGAGATCGGACCCAGAAGAACGTCTAAAGAACGTCATACTGGCACTCACAGATTAGACTGGAACGAGCAGGAAGAGCGGCCGTCCGCGTTTGTCATGATGACCAAAAACATTCATGGTAACTCGCAATTCCAACCTCACCATGGACATGGGAGTACATAGTACCATGACGAAATAGATCACATCACAGTAAATCGAAGGTTTTGCCTAAACTACGCCGCTGCTGTCCCAAAATTCTACACGGGATCAAACCATCGCCTCCGTGCAATATTCCATTTTTCGCAGGACAGAAGGCCGCTAAATTCAAAAAAAGGCGTGCCAACACCACCATAAACTGGAACTTGTCTAGTTCATTAGGCGACCGTTCGAAGAATGCCGTCCTCAATAACATCGACGAGGGATACGATAGGTTCGCTCAACGCCTTTACGTTAGCGCTATGAAAGCTCAGAGTTCGAAAGTCATCAAGATACCAGGATCGACTTTCCATTAACCTCGGCACTGGAATATGAATGCGTCGTTTTCTTGTTCAGCAATCGCGAGGTTTCTAAACAGCATACATTCACTTCCATAGAAAAACCATACAATACAACACTAGCTGATGTTTCCGCAGTATCGCCTTCTTCAGAGCCTTCCAGACTTCCAGACGTCAGCTAGTGTTGTATTGTGTTGTTCTCCACGGCATCAGACCATCGTCTCATTCGTGCAAGATTCTATTTCTCGCGGCAAGGAGAAAAAGCCGCTAAATTCCAAAACCGAAGTCCCAGAACCACCGTAAACTGGGACTCAATTCATTAGTCGACTGCTGGGAAGATGCCGTTGTTGACAACATCGATGAGGAATATGATCGGCTTATTGAATATCTTCACGTTAGCGCTATGAAAGCTGAGAGTTCGAAAGTCACCAAGATACGTCTGTCTCCAGAAACACTCGACCTGATACACCAGCGCGGAATTGCACGAGCTCCAGGCAACCGCGAACTGACGTCCGAACTTGCGAAACAATGCAGACAGGCGGTAAAAGAAGATCTTAAAGCGAGAAAAGCAGTAGTAATAGTCGAAGGTGCAGAGGCTGGGAAAAACATTCGCAAAGCCCACCGAAGTTTCGCGAATTACAAGACCAAGACGATTGTACTCCGGCGTGCAGACGGAACAAGCGTCTAGAAAGGCAATGGAGAAAAGCATTTAGGAATACTACTCAAATCTCCTCAATAGCCACGTCCACCTTCCGTCATATGAAATAAAGGAGGATGGGTATGTTGTACCACCGGTTCTCCTTTCCCAAATCCAACATAACCTTTCGTCGGGAAAAAATCGAACAACACCAGGTCCTGATAGGACAACTGAACATCAGAAGAACCACCCGCCAGTCCCCCCCAAAAAAGAACACTGGGTCGGCTCTTCACACGTTACCCGTCTGAATTTCGAGAAAGGTGGCCTCCACGACATTGGTAACTATCACTGTCTGTCGCCTACAGACTTTTCACTCGGGTCATCCTACACGAGATGCCAGAACACTGTCCAAAGGACAGCTATGTGAGCAAGTAAGGTTTCGAGAAGGATTCAGTATAATGGACCACATCCACAGGATAATAAAAGTCACTAAAGTATCGCTAGAGTACTAGAAACCGTTCTCTATCACCTTCGTCAATTTAAAGAAAACAGTTAAGATAGCAGTTACGGAAGCCCTAGACAGCCAAAGAGTGCCTACCAGTACATAAAAACACTTTGTGAGCTGTATAAAACTTCACAACCAAGATATCACCATTCTACAACGACATAAACATCGACGTCAAACGTTGGGTTAGGAAAGGCGATACCATCGCGCCAAAATTATCGCCACTCTCCAGTACGTCATGCGAACATTGAAACGGGATGATATGGGAGTGAAAATCGACGGTCGGCAGTTACACCTTCTTCGCTTTGCTGATGACATCGTCCTTATAACTCCAAACAATGGCCAAGCGGAACGTATGCTTGCCGATTTTGATAAAGCCTGTGGAAAGATTCAAAGAAAGATAAGTCTTCAACTAAATCTCACAAAAACGATGTTCATGAGGAATGGATTGGTTTCATATGCCTCATTTACGTTCAACGTAATGAATATCTCCGAATGCTCCATTTATGTTTATCTAGGTTGGGAAATCAATATGATGAACGACTTAGTTCCAGAACTGAGCAGAAGAAAACGAAAGGCTTAAGGAGCTTTCAATAACATCGAGGAAGTGGCGAAGAGAACAATGAAAACGTGGCCGCCTTTTTGACCCCCCGATTCTTCATACCTTAACGTATGCATCATAGACCTGGTCGCTGCATAACCAGAATGAAAGGTTAGTCAACGTTATTGAACGTGCAGATGAAAGCACGACGATTTTTGGAGTATCCTGTACTACAGAAATGAAAAAATCCCGACCTGCGTCAGCGATCAAAAATCGAAGGTACCGTTCTGTACGCCAAACAATCGAAGATAAGGTAGGCCGGGCACGTAATGCGTATGAATGACAACCGACGGAGAAGAGCCGTTAGTGACTGGATTTCTCTGGATGTCAAAAGTACTGCAGGAAGACCACGGTCGTGATGGTCAAAGTTCATCATGAAAGCCCTAGAAGAAAAGTGTGATGCTCAGCGAGTCCCTAGAAGGAGCAGAACCCACTAGGCCACCCTTGCACGCGAGTGACCAGTCGAGTTACTGAACGATTAACGGGACTATGGTTGATATGTGTGACAGAGTTACTTGGACAGCCCGTCTTCACTGGTTGTGCGGACCTTGGCATAATTCTAATTTCTTCGGAGTTTTGCTGGTTTAGTTATTGTGGTTTCCTGGAGTTCCAAGGTTAGCTTTGCCAAAGTGTGCCCCAGGGCGTCACCACCACAGGCAATCTCCTCCTGTGTGGATCAGAGGTAGATTTGCCACCATGCGACTAGTCTGATACCATAACGGTGGTGGACCTTGGTATTGATTTACGCCTACCTGGGCTTCCTGATGGAACACACATGTATATACGTATGTATACATATACACATACATACATATGTATATATACATATATATATACATAAACACTTATGTGTACGTATACATATAGTCGCTGGTTCGAACTTGCCCTGTATACTCAGAGAAATTGCTGCCGGACTTATTTGGGAAAACTATCCAACCTGCAAAGCCGCCAACTGGGAGAACGCATTGTAGGGCTATACGTGAATCTATCCCCTGTCATATTGTCTATACAAAACCTTAATTAACTGGTCTTTTGGGAGGTATTGTTGCACTTTAGCACGTTGGTAGTTTATTATCAATACAACTCATTCTTAAAAACCAATTATTACTTCAGCTGCAGAATTTGTGAAGTAAAAAAAAACCATGCAGCTGTGAAATAGTTTAGAAGACAAACCCAACTTCAATGTCATTTTTATCATATCGCCGAAATCTACTTGTTGATCCTAGCTCTATTTGTTTACAAGACACTACCACATAATAAAATGACAGGGGAGATACGATGGCAAAGAACGTAATTGATGGCAAATTTCATAAATTTTAACAAACTTTAGTTTTGGTTTGTGCGATACACTTATGCTTGGTCAACGAAATACTTCCTATACCGAAAAAATTTTCTAGTCATTTCATATCAGAGTGGAACACTAATCAAGTTACTGAAGTGTATAAACTGCTGGTACATCTTGTAATAGTTCCCAGGATCAACTTTCTCTTAACCTCGGCATTGGAATATGAATGTGTCGTTTTCTTGCTCAGCAATCGCGAGGTTTTTAAACAGCATACATTTACTTCCATAAAAAAACACAATACAATACAACGCTAGCTGACGTTTCGGCAGAATCGCCTTCTTCAGAGCCTGGAAGGGTATGCTGATATACAATCTACTAGGCCGAACGCTTCAATAACACTTACACAAAGACGAAAAACTCTTTGGTAATTACACGATCAACAACTTCTCGAAAAACCCACCGCTTTTTCGTTCAATGAGGAAGTTTAGAACAGCTGATTATAGTCGCATGTGGTTGACGACTGCACCATCGCACATCAAAAATCGATGCGAACGTACGGGATCAGGTCGCGTATGACCTCCGGGCATTCGTCCCTGCTATTCATCGTAGGGTTTTTGGCATTGATTCAAAAAGCCTCTAGGAGTTTTCGCGCTGGTGTTTTGGACTCCTGTGCAAGGATATTGACTTTTACTTCAAAATCGTCTCTGCTATGCTTTTGTATCCTATGCGTGCCTAGCGGGGTGCTTCGTCTTAGTTTTCGTTTGCCATCTAGGTGTTCTTTTATACGGATACACAAAGGTCTGCCCGTTTCGCCAATATATTCATCTCCGCAATTATTACAAGAGATCAGGTATATCGTACCTGAACTCATGCAATCACCGTCCCTGCCGTAAGGGCAAATTACGCAATTTGTTGTTTCACACACACAGTCAATATCCTTGCACAGGAGTACAAAACAAAAGCGCGAAAACTCCTAGAGGCTTTTTGGATCAATGCCAAAAACCCTACGATGAATAGCAGGGACGAATGCCCGGAGGTCATACGCGACCGGATCCCGTACGTTCGCANATTGATTCAAAAAGCCTCTAGGAGTTTTCGCGCTGGTGTTTTGGACTCCTGTGCAAGGATATTGACTTTTACTTCAAAATCGTCTCTGCTATGCTTTTGTATCCTATGCGTGCCTAGCGGGGTGCTTCGTCTTAGTTTTCGTTTGCCATCTAGGTGTTCTTTTATACGGATACACAAAGGTCTGCCCGTTTCGCCAATATATTCATCTCCGCAATTATTACAAGAGATCAGGTATA